GGGAGTTAGCATAGGGAAGAATTCAAGGGTCAAGTTTACTACATTTTTTTTTAAGTTGGGGGAAAGAGAGTTAAGTAAATTGACTGCAAAGAAATGTTCTTTTTATATTAAAATACAGTCAGCTTTAACAGCCACTGCCTCTCCCCAACTCTTCCTGGCTAGACTATGAGGGTCGCAGTTGAAACGCTGATCTCTCAGGGAGGGTTCCCTGAGCTCCCTATACTACACCACGAGCTCCCCACATCTTCGTGTTCTCTCTCGGCCCCCTGTACTTGCTCTCCTTCTAGAATGTGAGGCCTCCCCAGCAAGGGCCTTGTGGATCTGCCTCACCACTGTGCCCTGCGCCCAGCGCAGGTCTGGCACAGGTGAGCACACTGTCAGTGGGTGTATCCACAGCCACAAATACACTGTGGACCAAGGTGCGCATTTTACGTGGATTCTGAGGAGAAAACCTGAGAATCTAACGATGCCTTCACTAACCGCCTGCTCCTCCGATGAGAACCCTGTACCCGGTGGTAGGTGTGCACAGCCCCACGCGGCTCCCAGCAGTTACTTCGGGGAACAATGTCTGAGAAGCCCTAGACGAGGCTATCTCATTGGTGACATTCTAGGGGTCTTGTGAAAACACAGCAAATTAGCCAGCAATGAGGTGGTCTATGACTCTGAACAGAGATGTTAGGAGGGAGTCTACTTGACAAAGCTAGTATTTGTTTCAAATTCTAGGTGAAATTGTGTAAGAAAAGTACAAATGAATGTCACAAGTCTTATTAACCACACTGGAAGAACTTTTCAAAAGGATCCTCAGACCGATGCAAACTTGCCTTTCACATCAAAAGGCAAGAACGGACAGGGGTAAGAGAAAGTAAATAAGCTTCTGGTTCAGCTCCCCAGCAGATGATAAAAAGAAACACCTCCATTTCATAATGACAATAAATGCTGAAACAGAGCCATGAAGAAAACGATTCTGCTTGGGAAAACCCCACTCTGAAGCCCCCTGCCTTTTGCAGACCACGGGAGAACTGTATCATTTCTCTGTGTCAATGTTAGGGTTGAAATTGGATCTGCTTCAGTTTCCCAAGTGTCTTGGTCATACCCAACACCGTGCTTCGGCAGGCTGGTGAGGGCTGGTGGGACACAGCGCTTTTAAACACCACCAAAACACTAAGAGGCTCAGAAGGCCACTGACCGTGAGGGTGAACTTGACAAAAGGAGAGCTTGAGGAACCGCGGCCTTTTCCCGCTAAACGAAAGGTCAGTCTGTTTCACCGGCTCACTCAAGGGACCCGACAGGCTACTCTTCATTATGTCAAACACACACCCACCCAACTGTTAAAATTAGTAAAGAGGTTTCAGCTAATTTTTCTAAAACTGGATTCTCCCTTTACATTCTTCTTAAACGGTGGGGAGTTTCTGCCAATGCAGGTAGATTCCAAATGTCAAGTAGGTCAGGAGTAAAATGAAAAGCTAAAGAGAAACTTTAAAAGAGACATTTAAAAATGGGCTTAAAAAAATAAGCCTCGGCAGAGAAGTGACTGGAACACACTGTGAAAAGCTTACTCCAGTTCAGTACATGAATATTAATGGAAAAACCCTGCAGTGTTCATAAATAGTTATGACTTGATGAAATAATTACAAATAGTGCAAGTCGAAATTTCAGATCAGCTACAAGTGTCTATAATGATATTCTACCCCCCAAAAGCAAAAATATTTTAAAACCCTGAGGGTTCCACTGACAAAGCTCCTTACCTGAACAAAGAAGAATTCTTTTGCTCAACTGTCTCTCACCTTCTGAGTTTTTACAAATGAAAACTGGGGAGCGAGTGCCAGAGGGAAGGGCAATATTTACACGTTAGGGCAGTCACGAGGCCCACATTTTGATTTAATAATGTAGTTCTCAATTTATTATTACAACGTCATTAAACAGAGAGTTGTCAGTCTGGAAGAAAGATGAGAGACGTTCAAGGTTGGTGGGTGAGCAGCGCAAGTTCACTGCCAGCCTACCGAAGGCTGTCTGAAATCTGTTCTAACACAAGTAACCTCTCGTGAACAAACACACTCGGCACGTGTTGTTGAACCTCAAGCGGAATCTCCCCCCTCTCCCCGAAGCTGAAAAGAGTAGCAAAGAGATCGGTGTCTTTCTGAACTCAAACAGGTGAAAGCTGTCTGAGGAGAGGGCGGAACTCTCTACCTCTGTCTGCGACACAGGGGTGCCGGGGACCTTCTTACAAACACTGGACAGGTCATTGCGGCAGAGATTGAGCAAACACGGGGTGAGCGTCTCTAACCTGGCACCCGCTGCCCCCAAGTCCCTGACTACGCTCGTGTGTCACAATGGGTAAGTCGAAAGTATTTCACAGCCAACTGGGAGCACTAACAGACTTTCTTCTTCTTCTTTTTTTTTTTTTTAGTAAATGTATTATACTCATGTTTGATGCTATGACAAGGGGATTTTCCTCTTTTCATTAATCACCCTCCAAACAGGTCCACTCCACCATACAAAGTTCGAAAACACGAAACGCACCCCGCCTTCACCAAGCTAACCTTAAATAAACACCTTTGCCAAACTGGAGAGCCTTCCATTTCGTGAGACCAGGCTTGATAAAGCAACAGAAAGGGCTTCTTATTTTAAAAAAGCATTTTGGATGAAGAAAATGGACAGTAATGTATGTAAATACATCAATCTCAATCAACTTCTCTAGTGTGAGAGGAATAAACAATGCCGATCACTGTTCTGCAGGTAATGAGTCCAAACTCTTTGCCGAGGGTACGCCCCAAACTCTGATGGACACAGCAGGGTGCACACGCGACGGTGAGCGTGAACAAATGTGTGCGCAAGAAACGTGGAGGCTGGGGACGGACACAGACGGACAGGTATCCGGCTGCACGGAGGGCGCTGGGGACAGAGGGAACGGCGCTGGGTTAGTGGCGTCCCAGGAAGTTCACAGAGGTTTCCTGGGCTGAAAAATCTATGGCAGCACAATTGTTATTAAATAGGTTTAGAAAGTTAGTTCTGTCTCCTCATGGACAATTCAGAATAATGCTATCTTAGAGTATAATAAATCTGTCACAAAATACACTATTAAGTAAAAAAAAAAATTAGGAACAAAGCAAGAGAAAAAATAAGGACCATAAGGAAAGATGAATGCTTATCAAACATCTTTAAATATCTGAAGCTGTTTAAATGCTTTTAGATCGGCACCTAGAACTCCAAAATAGCTCCTTTCCCCTGGGAAGGAGAGGGTATGCCTCTTCAATCATCCCCTAAATGCAAAGAGGTTTGACCCCCATGCAATGGATAAAAGTCACCCAAAAAATGAACAAAAGAGGTGTTTGGAAAAACCAGAACACCATTCATCCCAGCTAACGACTTGTTCATTATGAGTGATGATGGATAAAGACTTCTCATGCTGAGATGAAATCAAGATTTATATGCATTGTTTCCTCTCCCAACTTGTGGGAAGATCATCATCATTTAATTCTATCTCTGCGGCCAGTGATGGGCATCCAGAGAGCTGGTTATCAAACGGCGCAGTCAGCTGGCAAAAGCCGAAACGTGCAGTTGGCACATCTGGACGGAGCCGCCACAGCCGAGGGTGAACAATGACTCCTGGCAAGCATCCAAATTGCTTGCAGACGCTAGCAGGTCTCATCTACAACCGCCCCTACCAGCATCTCTCTCTCTCTCTCTTTTTTATGAGAATCAGATTTTCATTGCTCCATTCAATTGCTCTCCTCTGCCATTTTTTACAGCTCTTATCGTTCCCCTGGAATATGGCCTTGAGACAGCTCATCCGTGTCCTTCACTGTGTTATCTCTTCTAACTTTTATTAAAACTTCAGCTTTCATCTGAAGATAGCTAATTAAATCTGGAACAGATTATATGCCTCCCCTTAAAAAGAACACAAAACCATTTTCCTCAACCCGAACCATGCTTTTTTTTTTCCTTTCCAAAAGATGAACCAAAGGTGTTTAAGAAGTCTCATTTATTTACAAAGCTAAGATCTCTGACGTGTCATATACAGGCTGATTTATATTAAAGTTGTCTGTGGCATGACGCATCTTGGGGCTATTTTGCAAAATAATTATTTCTCAATATTGGTTATGTTTTTTCTCATATCCTTTAAATATCACAGCTAATACCATAAACTAACTTTCTGTATAAAGTTGGGTAATTAGAAATCAGAGATGAACAGGTATTTCTGTGAATCAAGTGATTTATCCTTAAACTTTTTTTTTTTTACAGTTGCCTTCAACTGGTAAAAATAAAATCTTTCCTCTTTTATTTCGTACCCCAAACACTAGCAATTAAAAGTTTCCCTCATGGGGGATTAAGAAAACACCAAAAACAAACAAAAAAAACCCCTCTTTGCCGCAGACAACAGTATGGTGATTACCAGCGGGGAAGGGGGTGGGGGAGGGAAGAAGAGGGTGAAGGGGGGATAAATGGCGAGGGAAGGAGACCCGACTTGGGGTGGTGAACGCACAACACAACAAATGGATGATGTACCATAGAATTGTACACTTGAAACCTATATCATTTTATTAACCAATGTCACCCCAATCAATTCAATAAAAAAAATTTTTTTGTAAAGTTTCCCCCATTGAAAATTATTTAAAAACATGAAATTAAAAGCAGTACTTCAAATCTAGGATTGATTCAGTTTTCAAGGCAGCTTTACACCAACTAAGAGTTAGCCCAAGTAGCCTGGCTTAATCTATCACAGATGATTAACGGCAAAGCTTCCATAACTGATGGGAACACACTCTCCTTACATAAGCCACTGGCCCAATCCCTTCCTCAGGCCCACGGGCAGCTTACCATCACTTTGTTTTGCTGCAGACCTGCTAACCAAACTTTCTGGCAGTGGCATCTGAAACACCTATGAGCTAGGCATCACCCCATATGCATGCACGCACACGCGCAGACACAAGCATGCACACCCAAGCACTTTTAACCAAGGTTTAAGCTGCTATGGCCATGGTATCATTTAACTCTCCTACCTGAAATTTTCTGGGATCCTTTTCTTCGCTTTACTGCCTTTAGCAAGATTTCCTTCATGGTGACCTTTGTGTTGTCCACCTGGATAAGGGAGAATCCATGAGCAGCATTTCTGAAGGAAAAGACAGATATTGAATTATTACCAACACTCAACCAGAAGGATGTTATTGCAGTCTCCACTGTGTTTAAGAAAGTTTTAATTAGTGTACCTCCAAGTGCCAATTATTTAAAAATAGGTTAAATAAACCTCCTTCTAATGAGAGAGAGACAGAGAAAGGCAGGCATTCCAGTGCGAACGGTTCCAAGTGAAAGAGAGGTCAGTTGTGGAAGGTTTCTCTAATTGATCTCAAATCGAATCTAGTGGGTCTGTGTGGGTCGGTGTCGCAAGGCCTGACAAACGACAAACTGGGCCTGTGTCAGCAGATGTCACTGCAGGCAGACACTACTGTCATAGCAAAGCTCATGGAGCCCCGGAGGGAAAGTGTCACTCTGTATGTGTTTGTGTGTATGAGGAGGGGGCGCGTGACAGCCCAAAGCAATTTCCAGCAAGGAAAAGAATAGACTTTTCCTGACTAGCCAGTGAAAGAAACACCCTGTACTTATATATTTTTAAATATATAATCTACGTACACTTCAGCAGGAATGTTTTGATTTACTTTGTCTTAAAAAGGTCACATAAAATATTAGCTGAAGCAGAAGTAATCATAAGGCTAAACGCTAACACGACCTGTGAGTGTCTGGCCGACCGAACTTGCGGGGAAGCTGGTGAGGAACAAGCACCCGCACAAGAGAAGCCCGTCCCTGGTGGGCGGCGCTTCACTAAGACCGGTAATTGCAGCAGCGAGCGTCAGGAACACGACTCACTGTGCTTGGGCACTGGCACAAAGCGGGCCGATTCCAAGCAGCTCACGTAACAAATGGGACCCAAGTTTCCAACCATGGAACACGGGAATTGCCACAAGGAGTTTGGTTGCATTCCCATTCCCCCACCAGAATCTCAAAGGGGAACATGGCCAGAAAACATGGCAGAACTTCATACCGACAAGAAACCTGAAAGAAAAGCCAAGCCCCAGCTAAGTCTCGGAGAAGCCTCCCGCCGGCAGGACAGGCTGGGAAGGGGCCCTATGCCCAGCTTGGACCCCACCGGGTGGCTGGCTGGCTGCAGGGGCTGGGGGCTGATCTCCAAACCAAGGACCCAATTTGCTTCCCTAATACAAAGACATCTCCACACCCCTCCTCTCCACACGGCTTGCTGTTTAATCCTTGACATTCCATTTGTTAAAAAGCAAAAGCCGACGCTGGTCTAGCCAGCACGATCATCCATTTTAACTTGGTCAAGTTCTCGCTATCGAACAGCAGGCCTGAGAACTGTCAAGCTAATTCCACTGAACACTCTGTTACTGAATCATGCCTGAGCCCTGGCCATTCTTTACCTCAGAAGCTGGACCCCATCCCAGAACAATCTTTAAAAGTTTATTTTACTGATCAAAGCAAAATAAGAAATAGCTCTTTTGAAAAAACTATATTTAGGGAGCGATGCAGTAAGTGATACTTTGGCAAGGGCACTGAAATGTAAAGTGCCTCGTGCATTTCTAAACTTGGGGGTATTTGCTCTGGCGCGGGGCCAGCGTGTGTTGGGAAGGGGTGCCAATCATCCACGCTCAGACTCGCCTTCCCCTGCTCTCTCCTCGGAAGGCGGCGTGCGCTCCATCTGTGACAATATGTTGTGCGACGGAGGAGTCGGGCCTACGAGGGAACACGACTTCTCAGGTGCTCACACGCCGGCACCAGGCTAGAGCTCACGAACTTCCAGCCACCTGGGTTCCACGTGAACTGTTTTCGATTGCAGTCTGCTTATAAATTGCTTACATTCTCCCCTAATCTGCTGCTGGCTGATAGCATTATTTCAAACCAATATGTTTATCTTTTCCAGTGTGGGCAGACTAAAGGCTCAAAAGGAAGCCTTGTGTTTGGACTAACTTCCATAAATTAAAAGTGTCCTTTTAAAAGATTTCTGAACAGAGGAAAATCCCTGGTCTGTATTTTTCTGTCATTTTACCAAAATGTACCTGGGTGACAAGGTTAAAGCAAGCAGAGGAAATCCCTGGCACTTATCATCCACCGGCATTACTGATAAATTGTGTGGTGGAGGAATAAAGGATTACCTTCTGTATTTTTTCATTACACTTTTCTTTTGTTACAGAATACATAAATCCATTGTGGCACAATGTAATATGTATCACCATGCTACACCTGCGGACGCTTCCGAGCGGCTGCCATGTCTGTGCAGTCAGGAATGATAAGTGAACCACCCGTGAATGTTAACGATAGTGATCATTCTGAGGTAACTCGGCTCTCCATCTTCCTTTACAGCCTCCGCGCCGAAGCCAGGGTAGCAAGGTTCAGGGGAGGAAAATGAAAACAACGGCGGAGGGAAGGGGCACGCACGGCGCCCGGAGCGGGCCTCCGCGGGCGCGCGCTATCTCACTCTGGGGCTCCATTCCGGTAAAAACACGCGCATTAAAGGGAGAACGAGGTTGCGCCCCGCGCACCGCACACCCAACCAGACCTAATGAAAGTTTCCCCGGGCCGGTCTCGCATGCCACTCGCTGCTCTCCCTGCAGAGGAGCGCCACACTGGGCCCCGTTGGCTCCGGCTCCCAGGCGACGGCACCGAAGGGGATGACACGTCTCTGAAGCACGGGAGCGCAGAATGGAAGCCGTTCTCAGAATGCATCTGGGTGCGACTGTTAAGTTGTGCTCACGTTTAATAAATGGATATGGAGACTTGCTACCACATTTTTCAGCTTGACTTCCAAACATTCTGGGTTTTATGCCTCATTTCTTTATATCCAGGATTTTTTTATGGGCTTTCTAAAAAGTCTATCGAAATACATCTTTTAGAGCTGCTTTTATTTAATGGCGAGTGCTGGGTCTGAGAGGGAGAGGCCCACGAGCGAGCGCAGGGACCTGCCGGCGCCAGGTGGGCAGGCCGCTCGTCCAGCCTCCCTTCCCTGGGGCGCCGCCTTCTCCTCTCCGCGCTGGGACCTGTGCTGGCAGCGAGGAGCCCTCAGATGGACGGGCAGATGGATGGACAGACAGATGGGCTACAAACCCAGTCTCGACTCAGAAACCGCTCCTCCGCCTGCTCCCCCTGTGGGTAGGTAGCCGGCTTCTTTCCTGCCAGGGCAGGGCACCCCAGGGGCACCGAGCAGGAGCGGCCGCCCTGCCACAGCGACCTGGGCTGCCAGCGCCGGGTCTGGGATGAAGCGTCACTTCAGGGAGCTGACTAAATGCTACCAGGAGTGCTTCAGTCAATTCAAAGTTAGGTCCTGTCAAGTCTCGTAACCACTGAAAAACGTATGGGCATTTTAAAAAGAGATTACTCACTGGAGGAATTCAGCTCTGTCCCCGCGCAAAGCCGCTCGGTTACCAGGGGGAAGTGTTTATCCCAGCATTAACCTGACACAACAGCATTTCTCCACCACGGATCAGACTGGAAGGGGTGGGGCACGGAGGGGAAGGAGAGGCAGGGTCTTCATCTAAAAAGCTTAGTTTCTACTTATAGAGAGAGAGCCGAAGCCAGGAATCCTGGTTCCATGGCTACCCAAAGTGCTGCCTTAACATGTGGGAAACCTCAGCTGCACCCGTGAAAGGAGGAGGGCGCTTCCCTGCAGACCTGTCAGGAGGATAGAACAGTCAATGATGCCAAGCACCTGGCACTAAGACTGGCAAACGGTAAAAAGAGTTTATAGGTATTACTTCTCTTATGTTCCCCTTGTCCCAAGTCACCACTCCGAGAGAAGAGGCCCCATGCGTGCCCCCTCCCCTGACCCCTCAGCAGAGACTGCTTATTTGGGAGAATGGATCTGAACCCTCACAGCTTTTAACTGGTAACACAGGGCCATTAAAATGTGCAACCTGCCAGCCACGGTGGCAATATTCAGGGGTACTGTCAGCAAGCAACCTCCAGGCCAGGCTTCAAAATCCCCCTGAAGCTCAGAAGAGAGTACCCTCGGCTCCATTCTCAAGATTTTCTCTGTTTTTAAATTTATTGATTTTTAGAGAGAGAGAAAGAAACGTCAATTTGTCATCCCATATATTTATACATTCATTGGTTGACTCTTATATGTGCCTTTAATGGGGATTGAACCCACAACCTTGGTGTATCAGGACAATGCTCTAACCAACTGAGCTACCTGGCCAAGGCCTTTTCTTTCTTTTTTTTAAAGAGAGGGGAAGAGAACGAGAGAGAGAGGTAGAGAAACATCAATGTGAGAGAGAAATATCTATCGGTTGTCTCTCATATGCGCCCTGATAGGGGACCAAACCTACAATCTAGGCGCTAAACTGGAGGCCTTTTGGTTTACAGGGTGACACTCAGCCAACCAAGCCACACCAGCCAGGGCAAGGTTCTCCTTTCTGAGAGAGTGAACAGCGAGAGAAGCAGGTATGTTCTACTGCAGCTTAACTCACTGGCTTTGGATAGAGATGATGAAAGTAAAAAATCATGGTGGTATTACAGAGAAATTCAATGAGACTTAGAGTTTTTTTGACCTAAAAAGTATAAGATATTATTATTCAATAATTATAACAGTAATAGCAGCAGCTACTATCTATTGAACACTTACTATGTGCCAGGTGCTGTATTAAGCTTTAAAAATCTGTATTAACCCATTCAATCCTAAAACAGGCACTATTGCTATATCCATTTTATTTTATATTTAATTAATTTATTTTTAGAGAGATGGGAAGGAGGGAAGAAAAAGAGGGAGCGAAACACTGATGTGTGAGATAGGTACATTGACTGGTTGCCTCTCGCACGCCCCCAATAGGGAACCTGGCCCACAACCCAGGCATGTACCCTCACTGGGAATCGAACCGGTGACCCTTTGGTTTGCAGGCTGGTGCCCAATCCACTGACCCACATCAGCCAGGACACTATATCCACTTTACAGACACTAAGGCTGGAGGCATTAGGAAATTTACCCGTGGTCACTCGTCCATTAAAGATCCTATTTTGGATTCGGAAATCAACAACATGGTTCCCAACCCAAGTGGGAGAGAAAAAGAGGCAAACGGAGAATGACAGTTCGTGTGACAAGCACAAAGG